TAGATTCAAGAGAGTTGAAATAAAAAGTTACTAGTTACCGATAAAATATAACTAAATAAAGTTAAAAGATAAGAGTCTAAAATTGTAACTAGATAAAGTTAAAATTATTTAACTTTTTAACTTTTTAACTTAACTTTTATCTTTTTAACTAGACACTACCCAACCTTGATCAAAAGTGATAAGTGTGTAAAAATGATTAAAACAAACTTTCTTTCCAAAAATTTTGTAATATATTGTTTAGCGTTGAAATCTTTTCGACAGAAATTACAGATTTCAAAGAGATAATATTTAATTATATATGTTTTAACAAAGTCTCTTTTTAGAGAGTAGGCAAAAATATTATTGTTAACATGTACTACACTAAGTACAATAAAAGAAGAAATTTAACTTAAGAAATCTTTAATTATATTTATATAATTGTTTGTTATAATGTGTTTAATAATAAGTAATTAATTAAATTAACTCTAATTCGGTAAACCCTAGACACTTATGTTCGATGCGATTTTTTATTCGTTTAAACGTTGCAAAAACTCTTGCAAAAATCCATGGAGTTGTATTCAACATTTTAAATTAAGAAAATAATATTAGTTTTGATATTTAAAAAATTTTTTTATTATAGCGAAAACCATATCAAATCAAAGAATTTAAAATGTTAACAATAATATTTTTGCCTAATCTCTAAGACTTTGTTAAAACATATATAATTAAATATTGTCTTTTTGAAATCTGTAATTTCTGTCGAAAAAATTTCAACGCTAAACAAAAATATTACAAAATTCTAGGAAAGAAAGTTTGTTTTATTCATTTTTACACACTCTTATCACTTTTAATTAATCAGCTTATATTGATCATGTTGTTTTTTTTTTCATACTCATAGTTTTGAGTATTTTTTTAAAATATTTCATTGGAAAATCTAACCATATCAGTAAGACCTGAAGTGCCGCTCAGACGTGCGTGCCTGCCAGTGGAACAATAGGCAATCCGTCGTAATGACCTGTATGTAAATGCAACACCCTGTACGTCAGAACTTCGTAAGAAAAAGCGCGCGTTCAAACAACAACCAAGTCTAATCAACTTAACTGCTTATTATGACGATTCTAAGGAAATTTCCTGCTTTCTTCGAAAAAGGAACGGGCTGCGTTCAAGTCATTCTGCGGCTCATTACACGCCAACTTTGACCTTGGCTCCGTTTGGAGCACTGTCAGAGCCTTTACACATGCCAGAAATTATTCGCGCAGTCACGGTAATCGCAATAATATTGATTTTGACGGCCTCAACAAGTCGTTCGACAAGATTGCTACCATAGTTCCACTTACAATTCCTAACTATGCAAACTTACTTAACAGCATTCCTCCTTTAGGTGACAGCTGTCATGATCGCTCCTTTTTGAAGCTCCAAGCAAGGAGGAGTTCATGTCCGTTATAAACACTCTTAAAGTCAAGTCGGCTCCTCACCCTGACTTAATTTCCAATACAATAATTTCACATTTTTCTACAGAACTTTATACTTATGTACTAAAGATATTTAATGAAATGTTCAATCTACAGGTCTATCCCGACCAATGGAGGAATTATTTTGTGATTTTTATTCCAAAACCGGGTAGAAAGNGGGCATACCGCCCTATTTCCTTAGCCAACAACCTGTTAAAAGTCCTGGAAAAACTTCTGTGTCGCCGAATGAAATGGTGGACTGAAAACAACCACATTATTCCTTCCTATCAATTTGGATTTAGACATGGTTTTTCGTGTACCGATAACCTCGCAATTTTTATCTCTAACATTAAGCTTGCGAATAATAATTGTCAAGTAAATGGAGCTGTCTTTCTTGATATAGAGGGCGCATTCGATGATGTCGTCCCTCCCATTTTACTCTCTATGCTTCCTCTTATGGGATTTCCTCCCAAACCTGTAAGCTTCGTATCTGCACTCATATCCTGCAGAAACTTGAGGGATTTGTCTCTGGAGTCTCGTTTCAGAAACGATCTACGTCTGTGGGTGTCCCTCAAGGTTCCGTTTTAAGCCCTCTATGTGTTAGTCTGTACCTGTCGTTCATTGAAATGTGCTTACCTCTACCAGTGAAAATAATCACGTATGCTGATGATATCGTCACCTATTGCTCACATTCCTCAATAGGGTATGTTGCTCATCATCTCAATATTGCATTAAAAAATCTATGCGCACACACATATCTGAACTGGGTCTCAGACTATCTCCTGAAAAGTCTGTCGCCACTTTTTACTCTCTTAACACCTTAAGAAATGNAAAATGGCTAATCCGCAAGAAAAACATTAAATAAAAAGAATTAACGAAATGGCAATAACAAGCTAACACCAGATGTTCGAGTACAATTCTTTTATAATTCTAAGATTTTAAAAAAGTTAATAAATGAATATGATTGGTCTTTAAGAGCCGTTCGCTGGATGTTATCCAGGAAATATGTNTATATATATATATGTGCGTGTGTACACATATATAATCAAATTCACGTTTTTCACGTGAGTTTTTTGAATTGTAATTACAATTCTAATAATCATATAGGATGCCAAATTTGCATCTCGTATATGAAAAACCCGAATATCCCCCCAAATTAATTTAAAATATTGCGAAAAAAACTCCTCAGCCAGGAGTCGAACCTGGAATCTCTTAAACGACCAATCATATTCATTTATTAATTTAAAGACTTCAGAGCCCGAAATGAATCTCAGTTTTAATTGTTAAATTCACGCTGTCGCACGAGGCGTTATTACAGTATCAAAAACATCTTCAAGAGATGTACATGATATTGCGAGACAAACTCCAAGTGCCTCGGTAGCCTAACAGGGAAGGCGACGGCCCGNAAAGCCGGAGATTAAGGAGTGACGTAATTTTAGTCAATTTTATTTAGGCACCATTCTATTAACATTTCTTCATTTATTTCGAGTATTACAAGTTAGATGTGGTCACAATCTGTAGTTTCTATGGGTGTCAAATGTCTGTGTACGCATGAGTGAGTGTGTGATTGTGTGTATCTATGTATACATGTGTGTTTGTGTGTCTCAGTCGTCCAGGGGTACCTCAATTACTTCCTTTATTACTGCTGATGGGGGAGGATAAAAACGATAGAAATAACTGATTGAAACTTCGCGGACTTCAGGGAAACCGGGAAATTTTACGAGGATAGTATGGTCGGGAGGAAGAGTAGAGACGGCGCGGCGAAGGGAGTTTGGAAATCTTTTTCTGAGGTCGAGGATTAATTCATCTTTAGAAGGAGGAGGATCGGCGACGTGGAAGGTGTTGGCCAAAAGAATAAAATGACCTAATTGGTGAGGAAGTGAATCTTCTTCATCGCTAGTTGTTTCGGGTTGTTCGTCGTCCACTGGTTGGTCTCGTGGTGATTCTGGAGAAGGGGGCGAGGTGGGTGACAAAGGGGGGAAGGAGGATGAAAATCTGGAATTTCTTCAGAAAGTACGGAAAAGTAAGAGGGCGAATCTAGGATCGACGGCTGTGGAGAAGGTAGAGTGGGCGTAGAAGGGGATGTCGGAGGGGACGACTGAGTCTCCGGTGGCAGTGAGTGAGTCGGCGAATGTTCTACGGTATTAGGCGTTTCCCTTAGGATATTGTCAACTTGGGTGATCTCATCGAGTCGACTGGCGAGTTCCTTCCGCCGAAGGGCCCGATTGCGGCGATTGCGCCTGGTTATGATCGCGTTTTGCGATCTCAAGCGGATCCGGGGTTCCACTTAAAAAATGAACTTTACTTTACCGACCAATACTTAACTAAAACGATTACTATGTCAACATAAATTTGCAAACTAATCTCCGGAACGCTGCTCAGCGCCAAATTGATGCCAAGGCCAGAGGCATACTCGGTACGTTGGAGTATCTCAATGACTTCGAATTCTGTCAGTCGTATATAGCTACAGATTCGTTAAGTGTCCTCAGGTGTCTCGACTCCTTTGGATCCCTGCTCACAGGGACATCTGGGGGAACGAGATGGCGGATTAGTACGCTAAAAGGGCTCTGGAAATACCGGAGCCAGACTTTTCTGAGACGTGCCCCGCTAGATCTCTTTTTCCTAGCCTTCGAGCTATGGCAGTAAAGGAATCCACCGCACTTTTAACAAACAAAGCTCGGTTTAAGGATGTCCAGTACTTTCAGTATAAAAAAGAAGTATTGGGAAGACCGTGGTATGAGGGTACCAAAACACCCCTCTCTCGATCTTTGATCTCCCTAATATCCCGCATCCGGTCATTTCATACTTGCGTTTGTTTGCATCTCGCTAGTAAAAACATTGTTGACTCGGCTGCGTTCCCATGCGGTCACCGCAAACCAGGACCTCGATCATATCTTTTTTAACTGTCCGATATACAAGGATTCATCCGATCAACTTTTAATTGATCTTTTTCATAGTGGCTTCAGCCCGCCTTATAAGGTGGCTGATATAGCCTTCTCAGACAATATGCACGCTATGCTGATTTTTGTAACACGCGCGCAAATATCCCTCTAAACTTTACCAACCTTTCATCCTTACCGCTCTTATTTTTTGTTCGCCATATTTCTCCTTCCTTCCTCTTACTATACACACAACAAAACATTCCTACACTAGTTACGACTACTCGCCTTCATAATGTACTTTTTCCCTATACGGGAAAGATTTCCCTGCAACAGTGCTCCAAGTCTAATGTTACTTATAAGTTCCTAGAATGGCGTATGGACTAATTCAATTCGGTCCACTGATCCATTTTTGCACCAAATCAACCAACCAACTAAAACAAAAGACGCAACATGGTCACCAAACCTCACCGAACTATCTCCTAAAGAGGACACAGATGGATATGGATTTGGTCTACAAATTTCGCTGGCGGTTGGCGACAAAATCGCGACATCTTACAACCAAATTGTTTGCTGGGTATGTATATACATATATACAGGGTGTCCTAGAATTAGTGTAACATCTCTCGTAGACAGGTAGGAGTAAACCTGAGTCGAAAAGTTCTGAATCACTGTTTTCTATTACATATAATAAATAAGTAATTATTGAATAAATCAAGCCAATCAGCGCCAACCTTTAGCCGGGCGCACGTCAGTGAGTTGTGCGGAGCGCTCACGCACACCAGGCGCGTGGTTCACTGACGTGCGTTTGGCTAAAGGTTGACGCTGATTGGCTTTATTCAATAATACTTCTTTATTATATGTAATAGAAAAAATTGGTTCAGGACTTTTCGACTCAGTTTTACTCTTTCTACCTGCTTACGAGAGATTTTACACTAATTGTCGGACACTCTCTATAATCTGATTAATCACTGATGATCAATTTTTTGTGATCAAGTATTTATTTTACAAAAGGTATACATTAGCTGTTTAAGTCACTGTTACAGAATGTACGAAGAAATGTTTTAATGGTCTTGGTACATCGTGACTAGACACTTATTATAATATCACATGTAACTGTATATGGGTAATTCTCAAAAAACGTAATCTCCGTGGACTGTAATCTCCGTGGTATATTGACGTAAAAAACATAGATAAGTTTTTTATATTGCATAGTCACGTATTTATATTACGAATGGTGACTTAAAATGGTATGAAAAAACATAATTCACCGCTATCCGTTAGTTAATAATAATTATTTTTTATCAAAACTGAAAGTTGAAATTTACGTGTTCACAAAGAATCACCCATATGCAGCAATATCAGCAGTAATTCAGCTACTTCATAAATTATATACTTTATAAACAATTTACGTGTTGGCTATTTCTATTAAAATTTAACAATCACAGTATATTTTGTATAGCAAATTAATCTTTATATTTATGTTTACTGTAAAAAACGATACAATTTTAGTCGACGCAATATAAAATATAATATATGATTATACATGTAATATTAAGTATATAAATATTGTTCTATATATGTAATATATATATGTATTAAAAAAAAAAGGTTTCAAAAATTTGAACGAGGAAACATAATGGTTACCTGACTATTTCTGTAAGTTATTTCACATTTCCATTGTTACCTCGATCTAGCCACTATTAGTTTATCTTATTTTATTTTATTTTATTTTATTTTATTTTGTAGAACATTGATAAGGACCAAAATTCACGGTCGAAACGTCTGTGTAAGTTATCTTTAAATATATTGTTTCCTCGTTCACAGTTTTGAAAAATTTTTTTTTCAATAACACACAACTGTGTCCATGGACTCTTATTAACCATTTAACTTATTAATGATTTATATATATATATATATATATA